TCAAAAGGCACGTTTTGGATTTCAACATCTAAATCCTCAGGAGTAGGCGGTTACGCGCAGAGGTTTGTTTCGAGACAGGCGATGCAGGTTGCCCCCTCGAAGAAAGGCGACAGGTTGCCCGGAATCCTCATAGGAACGCGTGCGCAACCCCTGTAGAAACCTTTCTAGAGGCCCTAGGGATTTAGTGGGCTTAGTGTTCAGGCTTTAAGTTTTCAGCCCAACCACATACACCCTAAGCTAAGCCCCTCGCAACACCAGGATCTTCACCCAAGAATTCCACAAGCTTTAGGGGGGTAAGGGTTTAGGGTTTAGAGAGCCCAATACCCCTTGACAGCCGAAAAGACCGTAACCTGCGAGATGAAGCCCCGTATCTAAAGCCAAGGCCGGGTACCTAAGGACCTCCGGACATCCCTTTAATCAAGGGACACAACTTAAGTTAAAGCAGGCTCCCTAACTCGGTCTTAAAGGTAGATATTCCTAAATCATCTTGGAAGGTTTGGGGTGTGTCACCCCTAAACCCTAAACCCTAAAACCTAAACCCTAAACCCCCCAAACCCAAAACACTAAAATGGTGCTTTCGGAGATCCCGAGTTCAAAACTGTAGCACACTGAGGATCCGACCCGCGGTTGGCCACAGTTCTGCTGAAGACTGGGAACGCGGTGATTGTGGAGGCTGCGTTACGTAGGGGTTTAGGGTTTACGGTTTACGGCTTGGGGTTTAGGGTTTAGGGTTTAGGGCCTGAAGATAAGGGGCCTGTTTGGGGCGGACCGGTTTAGGGCATCATGGGTCTAAGCATTTAGCACTACGGCTCAGAGGCTCTAGGGCACACACACACACACACGCATGTTTATACCCTGAATCCCTGAAGCCTTTGCTCTATCCAGTTGTAAGAACAGCGGACCCGCAAATACATCTTCATCCCTACATCCTATACCCTAAACCCTTGACCCCTAAACCTAAATCCTGAACCCTAAACCCTTATAGCCCTAAACCACTAAACCCTAAACCCCTAAGCCCCTAAACCCTAAACTCCAAGCCCAGATCCTGAAGCTCTGAGGCCACAACGAGGGGCCAAGAATCCGACCATCCCTGGCTAGCCCGGTTTAGGGTTTAGGGTTCAGGTTTTAGGTTTCAGGGTAATTTAGTAAATTCCGGCACAAAAACACACCAAAGTCCCAAGCCCTAAACCCGAAGTTTCTAGCCCCTACACTCTAAACCCAAAGTCCCAGACCCCAGACTCTAAGCCGAAGCCCAAAGCTCTAAGCCCTCAGGCTGCGCCGGACGATCGGATCTGGGGCGTGGGCCTTGATAGAAGCAGCTCGCCCGGACAGTTAATCAGAAACTCTTCCAGGGGTTTAGGGTTTAGGGGTTTAGGGTTTAAGGTTTAGGGTTTAGGGTCTACCTTCCCAGAAAAGCACCTACCATTTCAGGATTCCCTATTATGGTTTCTGTCTATGACTCCTTAAAAAAGGTAGGGTTGGGGGGGGGGGGCACAGGTAGACCCTAGGCCCCCCATGTTGCACTTCTATTGTTCTCCATTGCAACTTCCATCATTTAAGCTTCGTTGGTATGTGGGTTTAGGGTTTCGGGTAGTCTGAAAGTTTAACCTTGTTATGTCTTGGGGTTGTTGGGGAACTAAGTGTTGTATATGGGCACATGAGGTGCTTTTTCAAGATTATGCCAAGAGGATCATAGTTCTGAGCAGCCACCAGCGATTTTCATCTGTATCGCATCAGTCGGTAATGTGGCTTAACTGTGTAAGTGTGGGGCATTTCAGGTAGTTCTAGCAACAACGAGCTATTGCCAAAATCGAAAGACCACTCGCGATGCAGCTTGAAAGCAAGCCGCCACTTCACGCATCGTTTCTGGGGAAGTTATCTGCTATCCGGCCCGGGTCCTGCGGTTAACACGTTTCTGTCCTAGGCCCTTTTCAGTACCCTAACAACCTGAAAGCCTAATAATATCAATCTAAACAATTGCGTGCACCGTACGATGAGATATTCCAAACCCCGGTTCTAATTAGCAAGGGTCCGACACTGAAGCCGATCCTTTCGGTGCCCGGTGCGGAGAATGGCCAGCGGGCGGGTGGGTTGTCCGAGATCAGAACCTATTCGGTTCCTTGCTTGTGTGACAACATTTGGGGGGGGGGGGGGGGGGGGNNGGGGGGATCCTCCGATGAAGACCTGAAAGACAATGCGGCAGGGGGGGTGTTATCAGCCAAGAGGTCTACATGACCCTAAACCATATGAAGCCTGTGTAGAACCCTTATGAAACCTTCATTGGACCCCTAAAAGAAAGGCCCTTCAAGAACTCTTGTAGAGATTTTGCGGTCTACTTCGTCTAGAGTCGCCCCAAGCCCTATAGAAGCCTTAAGCTAAACCCTGAAAACCCTAAACCCTG